AATACACAACTCCCATATATGGAAAATCTGCATAAAACAGTGCAACAAGAAAGGAACTCCCAAAAAGTTTGTGTTTGGCATGCTTTCAAATTGAAACACAAGTTTATGTTCATTCTTTTTCAAGGTACAAACTATTACAGGACTTGTATATCTTGAAATGCTCCAGAATTGGCTCTTCCCTCTGCTGCGAGATGGATTACAGAATATCATTCAACAACAAGACTGTGTACCCCCATTTTCTATGGTATGTTCAAAAGTGGTTGAATAAAGTTTTTCCCATTGCTAGACTGACTGTCACTGCTTGAATGACATGGCTCTGCTCATATGTTCACCAAGATTTCACAATATCATCCCATTCAATTTCTTTCTGTGGGGGTATGTAAAAGATCAGGTTTATGTGCCACCAGTACCTTTGAACATACCAGACTTGAGACACAGGATTGTTGAAGCTGTTGCATCCATTACACTGAACACATTCATCAAAGTGTGGGAAGAACTGGACTACTGGTTGGATATATGCCATGTAACAAAAGGTTCACATTGAGCACTTGTGATGTGTACTGTAAAAACTTTGTACATTCCTCTTTCATATTGGGTATCATTTATTATTTTATACTATAAATAAAACAAATTATACAAATTTAAAATTCTAATGTTTTTTTTGATACACTATAGAAAATAATGTTGCAAGGGATTAAACGTCTATTCTTGAGGTGTGGGGAAATATCTGTAGCTATAATACATACTGCACTTTAGTGTGATTGCATCAGGGTTGTGGAGTCGGAATCAGGAAAAGTGTGTCGACTCCAACTACGACATTTTAAATTTTTTTTTATTTACCTGAAACAAAATTTATTTTATATTTATTAATGTATTTGTATTTTGTTATAATTCATTTATTTTAATTACAAAATGCAACAATTTAATTTAGTAAATATGTATCAATAGTTTTCTTTGTAGTATTTGTGTTTAGTAGTTAAATTATTTTGACCCAATTGAATTTGAATAATATTGATTCATTCCTTTCTTATTCCCATTCTAAATAAGTATTTCTTTTTTTCTGAATGAGCCAGTCTAATTGATCAGAGCATATATTTTTCTTTCCTGAACAAGGGCTGAAGTAGATAGATCACACACTTTTTAACTGAACTAACCTTTCTGGAAACGTGAAAATGAAGTGCTGAAGCTGTAGATGTAGAATTTTATCACTCCCCCTTTTCCCTCTTATTAAATATTTGTAAAAATTAATTTTTTTATATAAATAAATATTAATGTAAGTTAAATATTAAAAATACTAACTATAAAAGTATTTGGGTAAATGCCCAGGGCTCCTTTCAGAGTTCAGAGTAGGATAACCCCCTATGAATGCCTCTGCCCCCCATCAAATGACTTGGTATTTAATTTTGCTGTAGTTGGGAGTCAGTGTCAGAGTCGACATACTAAAATTATCAGGAGTCAAAGTCAAGTGTTTTTTTATCGACTCCACAGCTCTGGATTGCATCTCATAATACAATGTGTGGCTGTGATCTACATAATCTAATTTACATACATATATATCGTATAAACATAGGTTAAGTTTCAAGCTATGTGTTATCTCACAAGTTGTGATTGAACCAAAGTATAGCAAGTATTATGTTGAAGATTTTCTCTTAAAACTTGAATGGATTCTCAACTCCCTTAGAACATTATTTTCTATATGGCATGATCAACTGAAGGGGTGCAAATTTCAATTTACAGACATCTTTACTTGTACCTCTTTTTTTAAAATCAGCAAAGCACTTATACAGAGCTTCCGCTGTACACAAAAAAATTACCAATAAGTGAAAACACAGTTAAACATTGAATAGTAGCTTTAAATGAAGACACTACTTCCCATTAACTTAGAGCAATTTAAAATATACTAAGATGTATTTGGTTTCTTTGGAAGAGTGAACAGATATAACTGATCAAGTGCAACTTGCAATTATTGTTAAATATGAATCTGGAAATATGAGGAAAGAATTGGTAAAATTGATGACTAACAGGAAAAAATAACTATTGGTGTTGATATTAAAAATACATTTTCAACAAAATTTACAGAAATGAACATTTATCTACAGAAGATTTTCCACTAAGCAACATACATGTATCCCCTGTATAACATGGTAGTTATGTTTCAAAAAAGTGTCATGTTATTCAAATCTGTGCTATACAAAACAAAGGACTAATGCAAAACATAGAATTAGGTTCCAAAAGTTAACAAAAGTATACTATTTTTCGTTACTAAAAAACAATATGTTTTTTAAAGCAATCAATAATTTATTTCCAATCAATAATTAACTAACAATCACAATTAGAAATACTGTATTATGCATTAATATTAATTTTACTTAAATAAGGACATTTTCTTTTTGCAAAGTATTGTCATCACCTAAGATTTTTTGTTGATCTTGATCAGAAATATCAGCAACATCTTCATTTTTTTTATTTTTATCACAAAAATTTTTATGGACAACAAAATAAAAATATGTTATTAATCAAAAATTTGTTCTAATGGGTCATGTTTGTTCAGTCAAGAACTGAACAAATTTTTTTCCATAATTTGTGCTGAAATATCAAATTGTTCAAGTTGGGAACTGTTCGTTCAAGTATCAAGATACTACTATATTTCATTCATCATTTTTATGAATGATTACCTACCTACAGTTTAAAAAGTTTAATAACACTTACCTAAGAACATTTAAATAAACTTTATTAAACATGAAAATTAATCTATAAAAACAAATCATAGTGACAGTCTTAAACGCTAAAGTCTGAAAGCAATGACAATAACACCTGGTTTATAGAGAAGCTAGAATAGGAAGATAGGAAAAGAAGAAAAAATTGTACCATCAGTTTTCATTAAAGTAAACCAAACAAAAGGCACAAAAGTTAATCAAAAATTTTAATATTCTAAAATCCGTGAGAAAATTTGAGACAACACCAATGCTTACTTGAATTTTAAAAAATATCAAATAATGAAGTTTGAACTTAAAAATTGCAAAATTTTATGCAAAGGATTTCCCAAATTTTTTAACTGTGTTAGAGCAAAACCATGTTGTATGAGGAATACCTATATTTGTATGTTATGATCACATTATTTTCTTTTCACTTGAGTAGTTTATTGTTATTTTTCTGATACTGATTAATGAGTTAAATAAAGTAAAGTTTGTAAGGATTTCTTTTTGTTAATTTTTTAATTATTAAAATTAAATATTTGACTTACAATTTAAGTTATTAAATTTCAAGTTCAATTTTGACCCACCCATTTCAATTTAGAGAAAGATTTGCCACTGCTGACCTAGATAATGATTTGACAATTTTGGTGACAGTCTGCAATTCTGCATATAAATTCATTTAATAATATAATTATTATTCAGGCCCCGATTTTCTTCTTAAAAAAGTCACAAATTATTCAAACTATTTAAACAGAATTTTTGAGTATATTTAAAAGAAAAACACTTATATTTTGTTTGATCTTTAAACTTGAAATTTAATAATTTTCAAATTGTATTGTTTATTATGTTATACTATAAATAAAACAAATTATACAAAGTTAAAATTCTGTTATTCTTTTTGATACACTATAGAAAATACCCTATAGAAAACAATGTTGCAAGGGATTAAATGCCCATAGAACCAGCAATTTTGTAGACCAAGCTACAAGCCTACTGATGACACAACACAAAAATGTTCTTTAACAAATTTTTCACAGATCTTTATTAGATATTTAGAGATATCAAAATTATTAGTTTCCTTTTAAATTTAATTAAAAAGCTAATAAAATTTAAACTCAAAATATTATAATCAGTTTTTCGTTCTTAAAGAATAACTTTTTCATTATTATTAAATTATATATAATGCTCAATAATGAGGAAGTGTATGTTTAGTCTATGAGAGGCATTCAAAAAGTTCCCCGAAAGTGATTATTATTTGTAAACAGAATGCTATATTTACAATTAATTAATGTGAGCATAAACGTGTTGAGATTTGTTTTATCAGATATTTGTGACAGTGCTGCATAAGACCTAAATGTGGTGTTACATCAGTTTGAAACTGCCCTTGCATCTGCAAATATGGATCTTGTTAAATTTGAAGTGTGCACTAAATTTAAATTCTTAGTTGAACTAGGTTGGAAAAAAAACCTATTATTAGTAAGGCTATCACAGATGTTTAGAGACTGCACCAAAGTAAACTACTCTTTATGAATGGATTAATCATTTTAGTGCAGTTAAAGAGAACATGTTGCAATGGGAAACCATCAACTTCAATTTCTGAAGAAAATATCCATCCATTCTTTGGAAAATATAGTAAAAAGTGATGACCAAATAATAGTGCAAATGATAGCTGAAACTTTAGGAATATCCATAGGATCAGCAGAGAGCATTCTAAAAGATAAGCTAAACCTAAGCAAGCTTTAATTGTGATGGGTGCTGAAGTTGTTGCATCAAGATCAGCTGGTATTGCACATTGACTCCTTACTTCAATTTTTAAACAAATTTGATGATGATTCCTAAGCTTTTCTAAACAAAATTAATAAAACTTGGATCTACCAGTCTGATCCCAAGAGCAAGCAACAATCAATGCAATAGTTACCAAATGGTTCAAGTGCTCCCATAAAAGTTAGGGCAGAAAGATTGGCCATGAAGGTAATAGCAACAATTTTCTGGCATTCTAATAGTGTGTTGCTTATAGATTTTCTTCAAGACCGAAGAGCAATAACTGTAAGCTATTATGAAACAGTTTTTAAAAAATTGCATGCAGATCTAAAAAACAACCTAAAAAAATTCATCAGTGTATCTTGTTCCATTACAATAATACACTGGCTCATTCTGCAATTTCTACCAGGGCATGAATACAATGAGAGATTTTTCCACACCCTCCCTATAGAACAGATCCCATTCAGACTTCTTTTTATTACATTTTCTGGGAACTTTTTGAACATTCCTTATATTTTCTTATATTATTTAAAATTAAATTACCTTTCGAGGATACCATAACTGGCCTTCCTCTTTTCCAGGAATTCCAAACTGATATTTAAATTCTCCAACTTTATCAAACACTTGTATTCGATGATTGTTTGTGTCTGCAACAATAATCTCTTCATCCAAACCCAAACAAAATCCATGAGGAGAACTAAACTGTCCTTTTGCTGGACCTAATTGTCCAAATTTACATCTACAAAAATAATAAACCAAATTAAAACTTTAGCAATAATTTGAAAAATTACCATATTGTTATAGTCTAACAAGGTCTTATATCATAAGTTTCCAATCTGATCTACTTATATATGCCATTAATCCCACTTTTTGTATATCTATAATCTGTCATGGAATGCCTAGAATGCCCACTAGGGGCATCCCTAGCAATGATTTTCAGCTATTATTTAAATTAACAGTATAATTTATTTATAACAGTATAATTCAGTATATTATTATTTTTAATTGTAATAGGAATTTATTATTTATATCATGGAATGACACTGCTGCTGCTAGAATGCTCACTACGGCTTCCCAAGCTATCTCATTTTAGATAAATTACTAAGGATTAAGCTTTCAGAATGGACAACAAATTTATTTCTATTGTATTTTTAAATATAATAGAAATAATAATTAATCATCTTTAAATTTTAGTTAATGTTTAATAAAAAATTATTAATTCCTATTTAATTTTTAATCTCATCCAATTTTAAATTACTGTTTATATATAGATGATAAATCAGCCTTACTGTTGATATTATGAGTTATAATCTATATCTGATTAGTTAACCAGTATTTATTTGATTAAAGTTTGTTTATTCATATGAAAAAATCAGATACAATCTGATGAATTATATCAAATGTTAATCAGTCAGTTCAATTAAATTGGCATGGTGTGACTGAACAGCTCAGTCAGTAACAAATCTGTATTGATCATGTCCATATAAAAATCTAAAGATTTATTCATTAAACACGAATTTTTAAAATGTTTAAGACAATATTAAACTGATAAAATTTATACAAATTAAAGTAACACTAATTTAAGTGCATATCATCATACAAATGCATATACATATGCAAATATCAACTTAATGTAATACTCTAATTAATGAAAATAAAATATAAAATAACTAAAGACAAATATAACAAGTATTGTCATCATACGGTTACCCAGAGTAAACTTTTTTACTTTTTTACATTACGTTGGACGTTCAGTGGTAGTCAACCATATTGTTTATGAAAAATTATTTTAAAAAATGTAAATTCTTTTGCTTAGCAAGAAATTCAGATTTTTAAAAAGATATAATTTTATTCAGAACTTTGATTTTTCAACTTCTGCATTAGCGAGGTTGAGGCCAAAGTTTTAAATGCGAAAATGTGTACGTTGGACGTTCAGTGCCGCTTTCCTGTAAGACTAGAAGTTTGACAATGGTGTTTGGAATGCCGAGTACGATTCCACTGACTATCTAATCACCACTGTCAAACTTCTAGGCTTACAGGAAAGCGGCACTGAACGTCCAATGTACACATTTTCGCATTTAAAACTTCGGCCTCAACCTCGCTATTATTATTTTTTTTGAAAACAACTGTATTTTTATGATTCTTTAAGATATAGTAAAAATTAAAATTATCATCATTAAAGTGTATGTAGGAGAAAATATGAAAAATAAAGGTAAATATGTTTACAAAATAATCATAAATCAACTATTTAGCAATTTTTTCATGACATTTAAAAAAAGTTTTTTAATGCAGTTCATTAATATTCAATTTTCAGTGTAGAAGTAGATCAATTGAGTATATCATTTTAATTCAATATGACAAGAAATTTCAACTATTACATAATTTTAAAAACAGTTTTAAAATAAAATAAATTTTATTTTTTTAATCCCAGTTTTAATTTTTCAAAAAAAAAAAAAAAAACTAAATCATTGATTTGGTAACTGAGACAAACTCATCCCTACCAATTAAATAATTTCCAAAGAAAATTAATGCTTAAATTGTCAGGAAGAGAGTTCCCAAGCTTAGTGCTTATATTTAAAATTAAAAATTTATTGTTTTTATTACATTTTAAATAATTGAAAATAATTCAATAATGACTGAACATTCAGTTAAATGTGTGATAATGAGTCAATTACCAATTAATTGGTAGTTTGTATTCCAGTAACTGGCTGATTAAAAATATCAAATTTTAGCCAACTAATTGAACTTATCAATTAACAATCAATATAATGCAATAAATTGTTAATTTATATGGATAAAAATCAGATATCAACTTTAAAGAAAGGCAACAGAAAATAAACTAAAATAAACTATCACTATACATATTTTTGTAAGATATTCCATAAACAGTTTTAATTCCACTCTCAGGAATTTATCAATTTTTTCAGCATTCAATAGCATCTTTGACATTTTTAATCAAATATTTTAAAAGAGACAATCAAGAATAACAATTGATTTGATTACAAAATAATACAGCTATTATCTTTCCTACTACACTGTCTTATAAATTAAAAGCTATTAAATACCATAGTATCTATGAGACTTTTTACAATATCCTAGCTTACAATGTGCTTTGCAATGAGACTTCTTGTATCTGGTAACTTACAGAGAATTTTGTTGTAACTTAAATATAAGGTGGATTGTGAATCCAGTCTTAAACAACAAATTTTTAATCACTTTCTTTAACGCCTGCATTCTACCACAATGTACTAAATATTGCATTTTGATCCATTTCTGATATTTAACTAGAATTATGCTAATTATACTGTAGAATATTACTAATAAACCTATTTTCATATTTATATTGAATTTCCTTTTAATTTGTAATTTTGTTTTGGCTCCTTCTCATCCTGTCTCTCTATTATCTGACATTTTTGTTTTAATCTAGGATGAACATAACTAGGATTGCAAACTGTTCTCCATAGTCTGGTTTAGGTTAGATAATTGCTCTCCATTACATAAAATTGGACATATCAATATTTCACAATAAAAATTGTAGTGTTTCTCTCAAGGTGGTTTAGATAGTTGACCAGTCATCTAAATATTTCCATTGACTAGTTACAAATAATTATTTCTGAAATAAACAAAACTGTTAAAATTGTCATTTGATCTTTCAAATAATTTAACATTAAAAGACATTTTGTTTATTTCATATATAATTATTGGTTTTAAGAACATATTTTATTTAATGAAATAATTATTTAATTTTTCATAATCATTTTTTAAAGATCTTTTTTAAAACACTACACAGATTACTTCAAATATTTTATGAAGGCATTTATAAGGTATTATATTAAGACAATTACAAAAATAAATGTTTTTATCATTTAGAAAAAGAAAAAACTAATCTTAAGTAATCATTATAAAATTAATGGTACTTTTGAGTAAATAAATAAATTAATAATAATATTCAAATAAGTCAAATATTTCAAATAAATATCTACAGTTATTTGTAATTGTATAATTTCCTACTTAATTAAACTTCCTACCTAATCTGCATGGTATTTAATCGAGAAGTTGAACTTCTTGGTGGTGGATTAAAAGCAGGCTGTCCAGGCAGAGAAGACAGTACTATAATATAAAAAAATATACATATAATAAATCCCATAAATTACTCATATATTTATTAAAATTAATATTTTTGAAAAGCTTAATTAAAAATAATACAATATATTAAATAATGATTATTTTGATATAAAATGTTAAATCTTAATAAGATAGGCAAAATACTAAAAATTAATATATTTATGCATATTTAGAACTGAAATCATAAAATCAGCAGAATGTAATACAATTACACAATTCAGAAATATAGAAAACTATGTAGAAAATAATAAATTCATTTCGGAAAAATAATTTCCCTCTTTTTTAATACATGTTTAAATATTTTTATAACTTTCTATCCTTAAATTTTAAGACAATTTCATTGGAATGCTTTAATAACAGAAAAAAAATGTAAATATTTTAAACAAATTACATTTTATAAAATTAGCTTTGTATTTAGTTTATACAAAAATTATCTTTTATTAAATTCTTATATTACACTAAATTTAAAAGTATACAAATATTAAATCATCTTAATCCTTTGGTCAAATAATAATAAATAAAATACATCCATATGAAACTGATATGTTATAGTGTAATTTTTCAAGTATAAACCATGGCTTACATGTTTTTACAATGGAAAAGAAAAATTGTGATTTTGTGAGATCCGAATAGCCCCTGGGTCTAAATGATAATTTAAAAAAATAGTTTAAAATTTTGTAAAAAAATATTCTTTCGTTTGGTGAGAAAATAACGATTTTCTAGCGTGGGAAAACGGATAACAGAGCCACTTCCTTTGACGGAAGTAGAAGCATCCTCTGTTTTTCCCTTATCTGTTAAAAATCTCGCCACGATGGAAAGCAACGACCCCTCATTTCTTTCCCCTTCCCATCCGTTCACATGGAAGAATCCTAGTTTGATGATTGGTTGTAAATCCGAAGATATAGTCGAAGTTTAGGAGAATTCGGGGAGTTCGTCAAGAGATCCCAGATGAGGAAGACGAAATTCATACAAGCTCCATAAAGCCGACACCCATAGTCGTATCTTATTGAGTGGATAAGGAGTTAGAAACATAGAAGATTATTTGAATATCGAGATTATCAATGCCTCCCCATGAATAGGAGTATGAGAACTTTATAACTGAAGGTATATTCGACTCATACAAATAATACAGAAGAAGTCAACTAAACAGGTTGTATGTTTATTAACGAATTGTGAGCTCTCTCTCTTGATATTGTGTAAGTTAAGAGTATTTTAGTTTATTAAATGTTTTTCCTTATTTATCGTTACAGAAATGACTCGTGTTAACTCTCTGAATCAAATCCATATCATATCGAATCGCGTGTTAACAAATTTGATTAACTGGTGTCAGGTCCCTGACATTGGAACTGAGGGATCCCACGATTCTTCGTTCCGCTTTAAATATTTAACTGTAAGACCCTCCGCACTCAGGTTTCCTAAGACTGGGAAAAGCCATTCTTTTGGACGACCAAGAACTAGTCTCATTGAGTAGCCACCGATTAAGTGGTATTAACTATCCTAACAGAGTAGTACCCCCGGCTGATCTCACAATTTATACAAAAGTATGATTGTGTGTGGTAAAATTCACATCCTTTATGAATCAGGAGCAGCATCATATAAACTAGTTGTGTTTCATAATATCAAATAATTGACATTAGAAAGTAAATGATTAAAGGAGAAATGGTTTTTACAAATTGCAAAAGTTGAAAAATTTATCAATTCAAAATGTTTTCTATTTTAAAAACTGAAATTATAAAAGTAACTTTTTATGAAAATGAAAACTATTAGTTAACTGTCTATAGCCACTTAAAATTTTACAATACAAAAATTTTGAAAAATAAACTAAATAATGTATAATGTCGATAAAAATGTTCATGTAAATATAAGTATCAAATGTTTAACTAATTTTTTTAAAATTAAATTTCTTTAAACAAACTGTTACCCAAACATAATAATCTAAAAACAACAAAATCAAAATATATACTATACAATTTNAATCTATATCTGATTAGTTAACCAGTATTTATTTGATTAAAGTTTGTTTATTCATATGAAAAAATCAGATACAATCTGATGAATTATATCAAATGTTAATCAGTCAGTTCAATTAAATTGGCATGGTGTGACTGAACAGCTCAGTCAGTAACAAATCTGTATTGATCATGTCCATATAAAAATCTAAAGATTTATTCATTAAACACGAATTTTTAAAATGTTTAAGACAATATTAAACTGATAAAATTTATACAAATTAAAGTAACACTAATTTAAGTGCATATCATCATACAAATGCATATACATATGCAAATATCAACTTAATGTAATACTCTAATTAATGAAAATAAAATATAAAATAACTAAAGACAAATATAACAAGTATTGTCATCATACGGTTACCCAGAGTAAACTTTTTTACTTTTTTACATTACGTTGGACGTTCAGTGGTAGTCAACCATATTGTTTATGAAAAATTATTTTAAAAAATGTAAATTCTTTTGCTTAGCAAGAAATTCAGATTTTTAAAAAGATATAATTTTATTCAGAACTTTGATTTTTCAACTTCTGCATTAGCGAGGTTGAGGCCAAAGTTTTAAATGCGAAAATGTGTACGTTGGACGTTCAGTGCCGCTTTCCTGTAAGACTAGAAGTTTGACAATGGTGTTTGGAATGCCGAGTACGATTCCACTGACTATCTAATCACCACTGTCAAACTTCTAGGCTTACAGGAAAGCGGCACTGAACGTCCAATGTACACATTTTCGCATTTAAAACTTCGGCCTCAACCTCGCTATTATTATTTTTTTTGAAAACAACTGTATTTTTATGATTCTTTAAGATATAGTAAAAATTAAAATTATCATCATTAAAGTGTATGTAGGAGAAAATATGAAAAATAAAGGTAAATATGTTTACAAAATAATCATAAATCAACTATTTAGCAATTTTTTCATGACATTTAAAAAAAGTTTTTTAATGCAGTTCATTAATATTCAATTTTCAGTGTAGAAGTAGATCAATTGAGTATATCATTTTAATTCAATATGACAAGAAATTTCAACTATTACATAATTTTAAAAACAGTTTTAAAATAAAATAAATTTTATTTTTTTAATCCCAGTTTTAATTTTTCAAAAAAAAAAAAAAAAACTAAATCATTGATTTGGTAACTGAGACAAACTCATCCCTACCAATTAAATAATTTCCAAAGAAAATTAATGCTTAAATTGTCAGGAAGAGAGTTCCCAAGCTTAGTGCTTATATTTAAAATTAAAAATTTATTGTTTTTATTACATTTTAAATAATTGAAAATAATTCAATAATGACTGAACATTCAGTTAAATGTGTGATAATGAGTCAATTACCAATTAATTGGTAGTTTGTATTCCAGTAACTGGCTGATTAAAAATATCAAATTTTAGCCAACTAATTGAACTTATCAATTAACAATCAATATAATGCAATAAATTGTTAATTTATATGGATAAAAATCAGATATCAACTTTAAAGAAAGGCAACAGAAAATAAACTAAAATAAACTATCACTATACATATTTTTGTAAGATATTCCATAAACAGTTTTAATTCCACTCTCAGGAATTTATCAATTTTTTCAGCATTCAATAGCATCTTTGACATTTTTAATCAAATATTTTAAAAGAGACAATCAAGAATAACAATTGATTTGATTACAAAATAATACAGCTATTATCTTTCCTACTACACTGTCTTATAAATTAAAAGCTATTAAATACCATAGTATCTATGAGACTTTTTACAATATCCTAGCTTACAATGTGCTTTGCAATGAGACTTCTTGTATCTGGTAACTTACAGAGAATTTTGTTGTAACTTAAATATAAGGTGGATTGTGAATCCAGTCTTAAACAACAAATTTTTAATCACTTTCTTTAACGCCTGCATTCTACCACAATGTACTAAATATTGCATTTTGATCCATTTCTGATATTTAACTAGAATTATGCTAATTATACTGTAGAATATTACTAATAAACCTATTTTCATATTTATATTGAATTTCCTTTTAATTTGTAATTTTGTTTTGGCTCCTTCTCATCCTGTCTCTCTATTATCTGACATTTTTGTTTTAATCTAGGATGAACATAACTAGGATTGCAAACTGTTCTCCATAGTCTGGTTTAGGTTAGATAATTGCTCTCCATTACATAAAATTGGACATATCAATATTTCACAATAAAAATTGTAGTGTTTCTCTCAAGGTGGTTTAGATAGTTGACCAGTCATCTAAATATTTCCATTGACTAGTTACAAATAATTATTTCTGAAATAAACAAAACTGTTAAAATTGTCATTTGATCTTTCAAATAATTTAACATTAAAAGACATTTTGTTTATTTCATATATAATTATTGGTTTTAAGAACATATTTTATTTAATGAAATAATTATTTAATTTTTCATAATCATTTTTTAAAGATCTTTTTTAAAACACTACACAGATTACTTCAAATATTTTATGAAGGCATTTATAAGGTATTATATTAAGACAATTACAAAAATAAATGTTTTTATCATTTAGAAAAAGAAAAAACTAATCTTAAGTAATCATTATAAAATTAATGGTACTTTTGAGTAAATAAATAAATTAATAATAATATTCAAATAAGTCAAATATTTCAAATAAATATCTACAGTTATTTGTAATTGTATAATTTCCTACTTAATTAAACTTCCTACCTAATCTGCATGGTATTTAATCGAGAAGTTGAACTTCTTGGTGGTGGATTAAAAGCAGGCTGTCCAGGCAGAGAAGACAGTACTATAATATAAAAAAATATACATATAATAAATCCCATAAATTACTCATATATTTATTAAAATTAATATTTTTGAAAAGCTTAATTAAAAATAATACAATATATTAAATAATGATTATTTTGATATAAAATGTTAAATCTTAATAAGATAGGCAAAATACTAAAAATTAATATATTTATGCATATTTAGAACTGAAATCATAAAATCAGCAGAATGTAATACAATTACACAATTCAGAAATATAGAAAACTATGTAGAAAATAATAAATTCATTTCGGAAAAATAATTTCCCTCTTTTTTAATACATGTTTAAATATTTTTATAACTTTCTATCCTTAAATTTTAAGACAATTTCATTGGAATGCTTTAATAACAGAAAAAAAATGTAAATATTTTAAACAAATTACATTTTATAAAATTAGCTTTGTATTTAGTTTATACAAAAATTATCTTTTATTAAATTCTTATATTACACTAAATTTAAAAGTATACAAATATTAAATCATCTTAATCCTTTGGTCAAATAATAATAAATAAAATACATCCATATGAAACTGATATGTTATAGTGTAATTTTTCAAGTATAAACCATGGCTTACATGTTTTTACAATGGAAAAGAAAAATTGTGATTTTGTGAGATCCGAATAGCCCCTGGGTCTAAATGATAATTTAAAAAAATAGTTTAAAATTTTGTAAAAAAATATTCTTTCGTTTGGTGAGAAAATAACGATTTTCTAGCGTGGGAAAACGGATAACAGAGCCACTTCCTTTGACGGAAGTAGAAGCATCCTCTGTTTTTCCCTTATCTGTTAAAAATCTCGCCACGATGGAAAGCAACGACCCCTCATTTCTTTCCCCTTCCCATCCGTTCACATGGAAGAATCCTAGTTTGATGATTGGTTGTAAATCCGAAGATATAGTCGAAGTTTAGGAGAATTCGGGGAGTTCGTCAAGAGATCCCAGATGAGGAAGACGAAATTCATACAAGCTCCATAAAGCCGACACCCATAGTCGTATCTTATTGAGTGGATAAGGAGTTAGAAACATAGAAGATTATTTGAATATCGAGATTATCAATGCCTCCCCATGAATAGGAGTATGAGAACTTTATAACTGAAGGTATATTCGACTCATACAAATAATACAGAAGAAGTCAACTAAACAGGTTGTATGTTTATTAACGAATTGTGAGCTCTCTCTCTTGATATTGTGTAAGTTAAGAGTATTTTAGTTTATTAAATGTTTTTCCTTATTTATCGTTACAGAAATGACTCGTGTTAACTCTCTGAATCAAATCCATATCATATCGAATCGCGTGTTAACAAATTTGATTAACTGGTGTCAGGTCCCTGACATTGGAACTGAGGGATCCCACGATTCTTCGTTCCGCTTTAAATATTTAACTGTAAGACCCTCCGCACTCAGGTTTCCTAAGACTGGGAAAAGCCATTCTTTTGGACGACCAAGAACTAGTCTCATTGAGTAGCCACCGATTAAGTGGTATTAACTATCCTAACAGAGTAGTACCCCCGGCTGATCTCACAATTTATACAAAAGTATGATTGTGTGTGGTAAAATTCACATCCTTTATGAATCAGGAGCAGCATCATATAAACTAGTTGTGTTTCATAATATCAAATAATTGACATTAGAAAGTAAATGATTAAAGGAGAAATGGTTTTTACAAATTGCAAAAGTTGAAAAATTTATCAATTCAAAATGTTTTCTATTTTAAAAACTGAAATTATAAAAGTAACTTTTTATGAAAATGAAAACTATTAGTTAACTGTCTATAGCCACTTAAAATTTTACAATACAAAAATTTTGAAAAATAAACTAAATAATGTATAATGTCGATAAAAATGTTCATGTAAATATAAGTATCAAATGTTTAACTAATTTTTTTAAAATTAAATTTCTTTAAACAAACTGTTACCCAAACATAATAATCTAAAAACAACAAAATCAAAATATATACTATACAGAGGAATTTTCATTATACAATAAACTCTTGATTATTTGAAAATGCATTACAAAGATGTAAAAATTATATTATGTATAATCAAATTTTAATTTTCTTCTTGTGTTTTGTTTCCTATATATTGTTACACAAATTTTGCATTTTCTCATTTAAATTAGACAATATTCATAAATAAGTTCATATGTTAAGCCTATCCTACCTTAATTAAATAAAAAAATGTAGGATAAATTATTTTCTAAATGTTTCCAAACTGAATATTTTAAATAAATAATAAATTAACTGACATTTTCAGCTTTATTTAGTATTCCATAAATTAACTGACATTTTCAATTATCTGAAAATATTTTCTTTTGTGACTTCTGATCAATCAAGAATTCACATTATAAAATCAATTATAATTACAGTTGTCCCTTGATAATCCGACAAGTATGGGACCAAAGGTGTGTCAGATTACCAAAAGTGTCCGGATTACCGAAAATAATTACATATTTCGCATTGTTTTGCTAGCAGTAACTTACAATATTCTCTACTCCAACTGTTCGAACAAAACTGCTCACATAAAACACACGAAATGTGTGTCATCGAGTAAGAATTGGATGGGGAGATTCACATCACGACATGCTTCTGTGCAAGCAGACACGTAACGGGGATGAGTACCTTGACGGGAGGTGCGTCGGACTACTGAGCATGTCGGATTAAAAAACGTCGGACTATAGAGGGACAACTGTAGTTAATTTTTTCATATTATAATTCTTAATAATCAAACAGAATAATTACTTGAATTTGATGGCAGAAGTGGAGAAGGAGGAATATTTCGAGAAAAGGGAACATTCATTGTTGGACTGCCATTAAGTATTGGAGAATCTAAATGAGGACTACCACCACGCTGTATTGGAGTTGTTGAAGATGGTGATAAATTTACTCCTCCATTTAATAAATTGTTTAATCCATTATCTAAAGGAGACTGAGGAGTATGTTGCATGCTACGAATAGGATGTGAATGATTGCCAGATGCAGGAGTCACGGGAGATCTAAGTTGAGACATTGAATCCAATGTTAAACCTGGTACTACTTGGCCATTCAATAATATCTGACCTAAATAATATTCAAATAAACATTTATAAATCTTTCAACAACAAATATACAATTATTATTTAAAAAATTCTCTTTTTACTCACCTGAATTATTAAGAGAAACTGATCCCAACTTTGCTAAAGCAGAAAAATTGCTAAGAGTATTCAACTGTGATGCACAATCTGTACTATTTGCTGGAATCAAGAGATCTGAAATAGCTAAAACTGGATTTGGTGAACCACGTGAAGCACTTCTTTCTGCCATACCTGCTAACTGAGCCAGATTATACTGGGCAACAACATTGTTAGCCAAATCCATATCTAATGATGAAGGCACTGATGTATCAGAATGTAGGACACCTGACGGAAGAACAAATCCTTCACTTTCAAAAGATGAAGATGAATGCAAGGGTGATGGTTGTTGAATTGGTGTTGCCTCTTCCACCTTTAATGGTGATTCTGGTTTTCTTAGACTTCCAAATGAATCTTTTACTGCTTCTTCAAATTTTTCTTTGTTTGTTTCAAATGTGATTTCAACATTAATATCTGGTTTGGGTGTATTATTTATGAGATACAACAGCTGTGCACCAACCAACTATAATCAAATAGAAAACAATTTTACTTTAAAATTATGAAATTTTATTCATTTATCATTTTCTATAAAATATCACATTATTATTTTATGCACATTAGATGTGCAAAAAATAATATCTTTAATACAGCTTTTAATAATTACTGTATTTACTCGGGTATAAGATGATCTCGCATATAGGATGAGGTGTGACTTTAGAGATCAAAATAAAGAAACTTAGATTTATTAATACAATTCTAATTTTATTTTGTTTAATCACAAAATATTATCAAATGCACATATTAAGGCAAACAAACATGTTTGCCTTAATACGTGATGAATGGAAAAGAAAACCAAAACATTATAGTGTTCGTACCGGAAAAAGTTTATTTTTAATGATTCAGAATGTGTTAATATTCATTAAAAATAACAATTTAACTAATATAAAATAGCAATGATTATAAATGTAGTTAAGTAACCTGTATTTCATTAATGTTTTTATAAATAACAAGAAACTATTTTCTGTGAACAAATGAGATACAATGTGGTTTTTAATTGATGGATGTAGGATTAAACCAATAAACAAAGGGATGTATGTCTTAATTTGTTTACAGTAGGTGCCAACTTACAATAAATAGAATGTAGACCTATAATGACAGCATGAAGTATACATAGTTCACAGAAATTAGTGCAAAAAATGCAAAGAATCCTTTGTTTATGTGTATAGGACAGCCTAGGTTTTTGAAGCAGCAAACAATGAATAAAAACCTTGTCTTATATGCGAGTAAATACGGTATTTTTTATTTTATTTTCTCATAGTTTAAAAAACAAAATACATGGAATGCAGTTTGATATTTGATTATATTGAATTTTGTATACAGTCGACTCCCCTATAACACTGTTGATAATTCCGTTTTATATGAATTCCATGTTGTACGAGTCGCTTAGGTTTTACAAATACGTGTGCCAGGCTGTGAACAGCTCACATATTTGTAAAACCTAAGTGACTCGTACAACATGGAATTCATATAAAACGGAATTATCCACAGTGTTATGGGGGGGTCGACTGTATTTAGTAATGTAATTAAATATCAATCTGTATTTCATTTATAGTCAAACCCCATTTATAGGTTGTTCAACAAAACTGAGAAAAATGTACAAGTAAAATTACTTTTAAATTGCTTTCAGAATAAGTGTAATCATTACAAAAATACAACATGGAACAAATTAACATTGTACAACTGAATTTGTATATGTAATTCTTAACAAAAAAGTTTCAATTTACTACATATATAATACATTTGAAAAATATATAAAAGGAAAAATAAACTAGTCTAAAATTAAGTCATGCACTTTTAAAAAAATTGGTCAAGTTTTGTTTGTTTTTTATGGACTTGTCACATACTGGTACAATATAGAGCATCAATTATTTCCTCCTGCTAAAATGCCAGTCATACGAAAGAATAGTCATTCTAAAGATTAGCTCACAACCTAACAAAACACCCCCTCAAATCTGATCACAGGCTAACTATGGCAATGGTTAGAGAAAGATCTGATGACCTACTCAAGTATTCCTCACCAACAAAATCATATGGATCGATAAAACATGAATGCTATGAATACAATACCTGAAAGTAGGACCCTTAGGCTGGATGGTACTTCATTGGTGACTAGAGACAAGCAAAAGTCAACACAGAGTAACTTGGCAAATTATGAGACTAATGGGTAAACCTTAATGGAGGCCCACTGGCTGATGCAACCCCTGCTAAATGCTTTGAAGGGAATAAATGCTAAAAATCGGACCTGGAATGTCCGAAGTATGAACCTGGGCATGCTAGACTTTATCAAACAGGAGGTGCTCAGATTAAAGCTTGACTTACTCAGTGTTAGTGAAATAAACTGGACAGGAAATAGTTTCTTCAACTCAGACAACTTTACTATTTGTTCTTCTTAATGTGCCTTATCCGGTCCCTGGACATTGACAATCACTATGGAGAATGCTTCATGATCTTCTGCGAGTCTAAAGAGATCTCCAACTCTTTATATACCAGTCCATTCATTGATGCTCTTTAGCCATGACATCTGCCTTCTACCAGCACCCTGTTTTCCTTCAATCTTTCCTTTCAGTATCAGCTGGAGAAGGTGGTATATTTCTCCGCGTAATACATGGCCAAGGTAAGCAATTTTGCAACACTTTATGTTAATGATTAGCAATCTCTTACAATTTGCTCGTTGTAAGTCTTTGTTGTTTCTCATCAAGACAGTCCATCGTATTCAAAGCATCCTATGGAGGATTCACATTTCAAAATCCTCCAGCCGGTTTATTGTGTTCTTTTTTAGAGTCCAACTTTCGACTCCATATAATAGAACCGATAAGATGTAGCAATTCACCATCCGTTGTCTTAGTCTGAAATTTAGATTGTCATTGCAAAAGAGTGTGCTCATATTTTTTTACAGTAAGCACAAGCTGTTTCAATTCTGCATTTAATTTCAGTATCAGAGTCCATGTTAGGTGTGATCATACTTCCTAGTTATTTAAAATGATTAACCCTTTCTATTGATTGGATGTTAAGTGATAAGTCGGCATCCTCATGTTGATCCTGACTAAACACCATAAATTTGGTCTTGCTGACATTAATGTTAAGACCTGAGTCTTTTCCAGTTTCATTGATTCTGTTCACTGGTGTGAGATCCGCAATTTTTATGCAGTTGTCTGGAAAAAAAAGAATTGTAAACAACTCCGATAGAAAAAAACACTCCTGGTGAGAATTATATCGGAGGTCACTGTTTGTTTTCACAATTAGGTGGGAAAGTTGACACTTGGGTGATGGAATGCACCGTTAGTGTCAACAGAAGTCAATCACATGGATCCTTTCCCACGAAGACAGTATAAAAGCTTGAGCCCCTGGAAGCTCAGGGCGATCCAAAGGAAGTTATACTTGTTAATGTGTGCATCTTGTCTCCATACACCGGACGCAACGAACAAAAGAAGAAGGATTGCCATACTAGTTCCTGCGCTGACTACAATTCCGACAACCCATTCAACGCATGCATATCATTCATTTCCTCATAGAGATATTTGTATTTTAGAGCTTTGTGAACTCTCTCTCTCGGAATAGCTGTTAGAGCTGTTAAGAGCGACCCTTGTATAGTTAATTCATATTTAACCGCATTTAAACTTACTATTATTATCGCCTCACGTAACCTAGCTTAGTTATCCAATAAATGCTTTGTTATTTTGTTAAACCTGTCTATCATTGTTCTAAGGATGCCTGCTGGCTTACTGACACATTTTTTTTTTCTCCTAAGCCATCCAATAATCCAAGTCCAGGTTTCACCAACCTGTTGCAGTGTAAGTGGTCATTAGGGATCGTCCCAGTGGCCCCCTGCTAGTCTCACACTAGCTGTTGTAGCCCATCTATGGTGTCGCACATGATAAGTACACCATCCACAAATCTTATTGTATTTAGAACAATTCCATTAATCTTAATGCCCAGCTCTACCCCTTCAAGTGCCTCTTCGAAAATCCTAACTGAATATAAGTTAAATAAAAGGGGTGAGAGGACGCATCCCTGTCGGACTCCACGTTTTATGTTGATAGTTCTCGTTTTCAGGTTGTCTATGCGGACTTTGGCTGTTTGGTCCCAGTATAAGTTTTTGATAATTCGAATGTCCTTGCTGTCCAGCTGCAGCTGCTGAAGCATCTCGATCAATTTGCCATGCCACACTCTGTCAAATGCTATCTTGAAATCGATAAAGCAGGCGAAAACCTCTTTTCACTGATCTCAGCATTTTTGCGGTAGCACATTTGTACAAAACAAGGCTTCTTGTGTTCCAAATGCCTTTCTAAATCCCATCTGGCAGCTATCAAGATCAAATTCACATTTTAAGCAGATTCTGAAGTGAATCATTCTTAGTAAGACCTTTAAGAGATGATTCATCAGACTAATCAGACGGTAATCGCTGCACTTTTTGGGACAAGTCTTTTTTGGTATTGTGATAAATGTTGATGTTAACCAATCCTCCGGTATTGTGCCTATGTTATAGATGAGATTAAATAGCTTTATAACTCGTCCTATGTTATCCTCAGTTATAAGCTTAATAATTTCAATGGGGATCTCATCTAACCCAGTGGCTTTTTTATTTTGAGTAATAGAGATTGCATGCAAGATTTCTTCTTTTAGTATTTCAGGACCACTGTTACAGTCATCATCACTTTCTTTGGACACACTATTGTCACGAAAAGGCTCATTTATATATGTTTCTCAGATTTCTTTGATTTCTTCTTTACGTGTGATAGGTTGGTTTGTTGAGCTAAATAGTGTGTGAGATGGTCTCTTTCTGTATATTCCAGCTATCTCTCTTACTTTTTTGTGCATTTGGAAACTATCATGTTTCTTGTCAAGTTCATCCATTTCTTCACATTTATCTTTCATCCATCTTTCTTTTGCCAGCTTTATCTCCATCTTAATAGTTTTATTAAGTTTGTTGGTATTCTTCCCTATTATTTTTTATTATTCTTCGTTTCTCCATCAGATCTAAGATGTTTGTGTTCATCCATCTTTTCCGGCTTTTTCTAGTTTCAGGTGGTGTCAGATATTTAGTAGCTACTTTTTGTAGCCTATCCTTTAGCTCATTCCATAAAGATAAAACACTATCATTAGTGTCTTTTATTGCAGCAAGTTCATGGTTATTGTCCTGTACTTATTGCTTTATTTGTTCATTCTCAAGTTTTGAGATGTCCCATTTTTGTTTTGTTGCTTTAAGTTTTAGTTTCAGATCAGCTATTAGTGGGACATGATCAGACCGATGTCAGCACTGGGATAAGTTGTTACCCATTTTATAATGTTCCTGAAACATTTATTGATCAGGATATAGTCAATTTGATTTCTTATGGGAGTACCATTATTGTCTTTGAGGGGAGTTATCCATGTGTAAAGCAGTCTCTCGGGGAGTTTGAACCAAGTGTTTGCAATTACCATTTCTCCTTCTTGACAGAACTCAGAGCCTATCTCCTCTTTGGT